GGCTTGATTGGGATTCGATTGGGAATTTGTCCTCAGACAAATGGCGCCGCCCTTGCCCTTAATGTTGGTAACTAAGCCAATTGAGAAGCTACTGACATTAAAATGTCGTCTCATCAAATTGGATCCGAAAAGTGCAATAACAAATGACATGCGTGATCGTGGTTGGGAACAATTCGGACGTTGGAAATGTCCGTATCCTGATATGGATAAGAACCTTCCAGAAGGGACGGCCGGAAACATATACCGTGCAATGCTTGCAAACTGCAAACTTTGAAATTCCGATAGTCGAAACGACGTGTAGAAGCCGTTCAGAGAAACGAGCTATGAATGATATTGGAACTAAGGATGAAGTAGTGAATTGCAAGTTAGATACCAATGTCGACAAAGCCATTTCGCGAAAATGGCTCCAAAAATGTATAGTAAAGAATTCGTGCGAAATGTTTCTACGGCCCGCCCACGAGAAGAGTTAGTGAAAGATCCTAGCGTACAAAAGTTTTTTCCACCCAAAGAGCCCAGTTTCCAGGATCAGCAGTTTAGTAGCGGTCTTGAAAGACATTTTGCTAGGGCATCCCATTAATCTTTTCATACTTCCCACAGTTCCCAATGAGCATTCCAAGAAACCTAAAAAAGCACTCCATAGATGAGTGGTGGTATGTTGTGAAGAACATGTTTAAGTTGATGCGGGGATCATGAGGAATTCAAATTTCTAAAAAAGTAAGCAGTACCAGAAATAAGGGGATACGAGATTGAAGGGGGAAAGTGGCATGGGAAGTATTTAGAAGTGGTGTCAAATGTGTACAGTTGCAAGATGATTTAGCTACATACACTGCGCAAAAGTGCCAAAGATTGCTTCCTACTGTCGAGATGAGTCGGAACTCCATGCATTCAATATTTTAGGAATTAATTTTGTTATTCTCTGTTGCTGCTGCCACTTTGTGATACTCTGTTTTTCTTGTTGTTATCTTTTGTTGTGTTACATCTTGTTGTGCTCTCTGACCACTTATTTGAATTTTAGCAAGGCTGCTCCATTGTGAATAGCGTATCCTCTACGTGGTCTTTGAAACACGGCCAAGTCTGGGTGTGGCATACAGTGATATAACCTGTGAACAGTTTTATGACTCAACAGTGGCTCTTGTGCTATCGCTAGAGATCACAGACTCATTCCAGCTCAAACTCACATACGATCCTC